TTTCCAAACAATCGAACACATACAAATTAGCTGTAGTTTAACAACAAATTTCTGAATTTGCACATTCTGCTTTCTAAATATTTTCGTACCCCTAGTTTACAATCTTTTAGGGATAAGTACTTGATTGTCAATATTTAGAATGTATTATACTATTCTATTGAAACATTTCGATAATTACGTTGTAACATCGGGTTTTTGGAGCTGATAACAAGCTCCACCATGAGATGAATCTATTTTATGCTATAACTCCTGTTGTTTTCATCTTGTTTTGTTGGATAAGCTAAAATGTAAACTGAAATGAACATCTACTTCTAATTAACCTTCACTAATCGAATTTCAACTTCTACATTCAACTCGCTTGAGAAAATTGATGAGTAGGTCAACAACATCGATGGTGATTACAGTATGAAAGGAATTCTTTTCAGTAACTTTCATCTCCTCAGCAATTGTAGAACACAGACAAGAGTGACAAGGAATAAATCAGTAAGTGATTCATTTTAACTACTTTGAAGTTGAAAGTAGAATGCATGAAACCTTAGTAAATAAAACAAATAGAAGAACATAAAAGCAGATAGTTGTTAGGTCACTGTAAAAAATGCAGATTTTTGTATATTATAAGCAGGATAATTTGTGGGAAGTTAAGAAAACGCTATTTGGTTGTTAATAATATTAAAAACAATTGAGGACCTACTTCAGTAAATTAGTTATTGGTCTTAAAATCATTGGGGTGGGTAAAAATCAATGTTTCAGTAAAAAATATAACCAAGTTATCCAGAGAAATAAGCTGAATGTAAATTCTATTGTCAGTACAATGAGAGGTTAGTCTTGCTTCCCTTTAGCATGTCGTGCTCAATTTGAAAGTGCCTGATTTTATTGCCATGGGGAATGCGAAGCAGTATTTACGTCGTTTGTATTACATTATGCTTGGCTATTAGACTCCTGAACTACTGAGGTGGTAGTTCCGTGACACATAGCCTGTGATACAAAAGTGAACCCGGCCGAACACTTCCAGTCTTCTCATGTCTTTTGATTTTATAAGCCATGTTTCACAGCCATATATTGGAACGGAGAGAATTGCTGCGCAGTACACTTGTTCCTTAATAGGCCATGGGCTATCAAGCTTAGATCATGAATATTATAAGTTAGAAAGAGCCAAGTGGATCTTTCTTATCCCTGCTGAGGTTGGTCACTGATTCATCTGGACTGGTCCCTTTTCCTAAGTAAATGAAGCGATCAACGCGCTCCGTGTACCATCTCAGTTGTAAATATCTGAGAATGAGGTAGAAAAAAAACTTAAAGAAAGCTCACGTTCCCGTTCTTTCAATGTAACTATTTCCACAAGTTCATGTCAATTTTCAGAAATAACTGGAGGTATTGTGAACAGAGCACTGAGCTGTTTTAGAGTGGTTCAGCTGTATTCACCTACTGTGTTTTTGTTTGTTTCGTTTGGATCCCAACTATGACATATCGAAATCATTTATTTCTTGGTTCATCTTAATATTTATCATAATTTCAGTCTTTTCGGAGGTGATGAGAGAGCTGCTTAACATATAATCATTTTCTTCTCAAAACCATTATCTACATACTTTATTGTTTCCATTTTCTGCAAGAGTGGTAGTTACAAGTTACACAACTTATGCTTCAAGTTTGTTGTTAAATACCATATTGAGATACTGAATTAGTTGTCTCGTGAAAAAACTTGTAGATTTCAACCATACTACTTATAAATGCAAGTTGTTAGACTCTACCCATATCAATTCGTGATATGCTTATTTATATTGAAAGTTTAATAATTTGATCACCAATCTTTTTATCCACAGAGATTTGAATGCTGAGGACTCTAACATCAAGTAATTATTCTGCACTTATCACAGTTCTTTATCTTTCCAAACTTCAGTGACTAGAAAGTGATGATAGATTCAAGAGATGCTTAACTGAACTGAAGAAAACAGGTACACAGTACTTAGCGCAGTCCTACAGGAGGTTAATCCTGACCGTGTAGTTCAGTGGTAGCATCTCTGTCTGCAGCACTGAATGACTTGGATTCAAATCTTAAGTGGGATATCAGTTCTGTCGAGGCTGCATATACATCTTGCTGAAGGTAGCCAATAAACAGTAAACACAGGTTCAGGGATTCTCGCCGTTTGTCTCTATCCAACTAAGAGTTTTGGAACCTATTGGGCAAATTCACTAACTGGGAATACCTTTAAAAACCTGTAAGCTTCGCGAAAGATCTGTGCTTCTTTACAGGTTGACAGTTTTGTTTGTTTCTGACCCAGGTGATCAATAAGATACCCGAATAAACTCAACCCATAGGGGTACATTTATTAAAGTAGTTAAATTTAGAACAAGACATATAAGGGAACAATATTATTTTCAATTAGATCCTCTTCAGGCTTTACTCTAATGCGGATAGCTTGATATATATACGAATCACTTAGACCTACAGGGAGCAACACACCACGGTTGTATGGTCTGCCTAAAGTACACAAACCTGGACTACTTCTTCGTCCAGTTTTAGACATGTCTAACTCCCCATACCACCCAGTTGCTAAATGGCTAGTAAGGATTTTAGATCCCTTACACAAAGAATTAGTTAACCACAGTGTAGAGTTTGTCTGTCAACAAATATCAGAAAGGCAAATCAACATCGGGATTCCTGTTTACATCCTCAGGGAGCTGCTTCTTAAATGTACTATGGATGTACATTTTGTCTTCAATAGCTCTCATTATAGACAGATTGATGAGATAGCTATGGCTTCACTGTTTGGCTCTATTTTGGCTGATATATTTCTTGCCAAACTAGAGAACTGAGCATTGAAATAGGTCATTCATGAGATGACTATGTATCACCGTTATATTGACAACACTTTCATTATCTTGGATCAGAATGTGAATACAAACAAGGTGTTAAGAAAATTTAATGCGATGCACCTTTCACTCGCTTTCACTTGTGAGGAAGAAAATGCCAGTAAACTACACTTCCTGGATGTCTTGCTAAGCAGAATAGAAGATGGTTCACACAGCAGATGTGTTTACAGGAAGACCACATCTATAAGTCAGTACACACATTTCCTAGGTCATGTACCAATTCGGTACAAAGCAAACCTGATTAAATGCCTCACTAACAGAGCGAGAAAAATATGTTCAGATGATCTAGTACAGAAGGAGTTAGATTATATCCGTAATTCATTGGTTGAAATTGGCTACCCTAACAGTTTCATAAAAAGACAGATGGACGAATTCGAGGGGAACAAACCTGGAATTATTACAATACAAAAGAAACAGTTGTTCATGAAATTGCAATTTAATGGGGATGTAGCCGGAGAAGTTTTATATCAGAGACTCTCTACAGCCATTAAGAGGACTTTCTACGCTGCACAACTCTGTCCATCATTTTCCAGTCGACCAATTGTTGTTGCTCAAACAAAAGATAGGATATCAAGTTTTGCCATTTCTGTGTAATTACAAGTTTAGCTGGTCTTTTGGAGAAAGCTATATAGGGCGTACTACTAGACAACTCAGCAAACTTGTTGGTGAGCATCTACCTTCATGGTTGGGAAAGGGACAGATTAAATCCATCAGAAGCTCGGTTTTATCTCACCTTGTTGATAGTGGTCACTTGGCAAATAAGAATAATGCTTTTACGATTATCCACCGCATACCATCTCATCCTTCGAAAAGTATTCAGACTTGTCTTTTACATACAGCAGAAGCTGTGGGAATTGGAGCTAATAATCCTGGTGTTTGTATTCAGAAGGGATTTGTACATCCCTTATCCCTCCCTTGGCCAGGGAATACTTAGTTAATAACTTTAGCATTCTTTCTTTCTCCTACTCCTTTTCTTATTCTTTACCCCTTTCGTATACTTACTGTATTTGTCTAGGCTTTGTTTACCCATTCACCTCTCCCCTCGCTATTACGTAACTTTTGTTTTCAGAAGCTATTGCCCCACTTGTATTATTGGAGTGTTTACATTTTCATGCTGCTTTCTTGGTTCTTATCATCATTATCATCTATATTGCATGTCCTTTAGTCAGCGTCATCACTTTTATCATTATTATTATTATTATCACCATCGTTATTTCAAAGCATATATCACATCAACCGACAAATCTAGATGACTGGTTTAATTTTATGCATACTAAGCTATCTGTATTAGAGTAAAGCCTGAGGAGGATCTAATTTAAAACAATATTGTTCGCTTATATGTCTTGTTATAATTCATATGATGGAAATATTTAAGACTTAAATCTTAAGTGGATCCTACTTAAATTTAACCTTTTGGTTTGCACTGTTTGACTTCATCGTCTAGGCGTTAGTGAAACTTTTCAAGAACTCTACAGTATGCTTAGACATTATCCCGATTAAGCGTATTTCATTACCCAGATATCATATTTCTAGGGTTCAACTTCAGAATAACCTTAATTAAATTCGCAAAACTACTGCTTCCTAGTTTAAGGTGTTGTTCCATTGATATTCTAGTTAGTTTCGTCCACATACCAAACAGCACTACTGCTAGAGTAATCACCTGTTATGATAGAGGACTTACATAAGAATCGAATAAGTAGATAGCCTACTGTCACGCCTCAAATAGGATTACTGCAAATAAATAATTCTTCTCATAGTTGTTAGGTTATGAAATTCGAGAAAATATCAAGAATTCATCAACTTTAGTGAGTGCCATGGTATTCTTGACCAGAGTACTGTTTCCAAATTGAAAGTTACGCTCAAGTTAAATATCCTATTGACTCAAGGAGAACCAAAACTCAAAGGACTAGCGATTTGATCCACAAATTATACTATCAGATCTTGTTGTTAGATGTAGTGCACTGCAGAGTCGCATTACCTAGCTGAGTAGCCATATCAATGTTGAGCACTGAGGACTAGAGATATACATGAGTTACTTGTTAATCACCAACTCCTTTACCATATGATCTTTAACTGAATAATGTAATGTATGATTCTGAGTTTCCATCAAGAGGGAGAAGGAAGAAATATACAGTAAACTTTCATTTATTAAAATTAACAAAGCAGATATTCTTTTCTTGAATGAATAGCGTATTATCGTTTAACTTCGGCGTCTTTTTCAGCGAAAAGCCAAGAATCAGAATAAACACAAAAAAGATGTCAAGTCTCAAAACAGATGTACATCAAACCGTTTGATTTTCGGTGGACTGAAAAATAAGTGCATTGTTTTAGAGTAGGTCCTATAGTCATCTATGACAGAATGTGTGTACACCTTATCATTCCTTGTTTAGAACAGGTCAATGTCCAATGTGACAGCCCATCACCACATGCTAAATCAGGTGGTCCAGTAACACAACGACCGATAAGTGTAGTAGCTTCATGTAGCTTACTTCCAGATTGAGCAATCACGCTAAGAATTATGCATACATGACTCACATCTTCTTCAATGATAAAATTTAATTTCTCACCCAAAATAAACTCTGCTGAATTCAATGAAAGGCGTGCAGTGGGTCTGGACTGAACAGTTCTGAACAACTTCCAGTTAGAACATAGTGATGCTCGAACATACACATTTTCTGTGAGAAAAGCAAATGAAAGTAGGCCAGAAACTAGAAGATTCAACTGTGAATAGGGCGATTTCAGTAATATGAATAGGTGAAACGGATGCGTACATTGTCATAATAGGAAATAAAAGGGTATTACGAGTGACTCTAAAGGTCACCTTCGCAATTGTTAATATACCAAATTTTTTATCTTTGATTGTGCACAATAGTTGCTTATCTTTAACAGTTTGCTGTTTTCAATTCATAAATCGTTCGGAATTACATAAAGGATAGATACAGAGTTCTTAAACGGAGCACACAACGACAAAACCAATCAATATTATATCAACTGAATTTGGGGGTTTGTGGGGAAGCTAGCGAATTTTCAAGTTGGTATTCATCATGGGTTGATATCAGTTGCAGCTACGTTGGAAACCTGAGAGCACTAGACAGCTGTTTCGTCCTAGTATGGGACCCCTCAGTAGTGCGTACCCATGACCCCATCCCACAACGGATCGAATCAAAGGCCCTCAGGTTCTGTTACCAGCACTTTATTGTTGAGCCAGTGGGTCGGAATCCAGTGGTTCGTATTTCCAACTTCTGTTAGTTCACCGCATAGCATTACCATCACCCAGTGTCATCGTTGAGTATTTGTTCTCACGGCCACCGGCTTTGCTCCACCGGTCAAGATTTCTCATTGGAACTTCAAGAATCACCTCTGTCTCTCAGCAATGACATTAAGTGATGGTAGCTCTCTGTCGTGAACTGACAGAAGTTGTAAAACGTGGACCATTGGATTCTGACCCAGCGACAACGGAACATGAGGGTCTTGGGTCCGATCCCTGGCGGGGTGGGGTCATGGGTAAACACTGCTGAGGAGTCCCATACTAGTGGGATGAAACAGCTGTCCAGTGTTCCCAGGTTTTCAATTTTCTTCCAACTGATGTCAGTCTATGATGACTGCCAACTTGAAAAATATTATATCAGCCAATCTATCCGGTTACATGTAGATAAACATGATATTTAACTACTTAGTTGAAAGAGTAGTAAATTTATTTAGTTTATTTCAACATCAGCGTGTTACAGGAATCGTGAAATTTTAAGTTAATGATGAAACACATAATGCTTGAATAGGGAGGAGATCGTAAGACTGGAATCAGTAAAGATGCACAGGTATTATTATCCTAAGACACTTCGAACTGGGATTCTTATTTGTGTTCTTACCAAAGCGATTCATTCTTCACTCCCATGAAAGAATTTACATCACTCAAAGTTCATTGTGAAGACAGAAAACCTACTCCTGGTAACTTGTTTGTAAACTGATGGCAGATTTCTTTATTGCTCATTTCATATTTCATAACCTGATAATACCTGCATAAGTAGCTGTCACATATTATGTTGTATACCCCTAATTTTTCATAGCTTTTGCCTGATGTTTTGCCTATGATCTCAAAGTAACCTACATGGCTATTTTTCACAACCTTACTAGTTTTCCTTCCCTCTCCTCTCAAGGCTGAAACCACATTGGCTACTAACTATTTCAACCTACATGTGGATTTAGTGTTGTCAAGGTCGTTTACAAATGTATCTATTGTATATCACTCTCAACTGAATTGACTGTTTGTTGAGAGAGTGTAAAGCTCTCTGTCAACGGTCTGTCTTCTCTTCTTGTCTTCATGTATCAGTGGCATTGTTGTTGTTGTGGTGGTCGACGTTGTGATTTGTGTTAAAGTCGATCAGTCTACGCGTTAGGTTCTTATCGTTCATAGTTTGCTAGACTCGCATCACTCGCAGACTGTTAGGTAGTACTACCGTTCATAGGATATTAGTTTTCGGCCTCCTCAAATCCACTAGATCAGAAGAATGAAGATATATTTTCAGGGATTAAATGTCACTTCCTGTAAATTGAAATCTCTAGAAAAGATTCACAGATTATCTATTATGTTTTTGTTTTTAAATTTTGATCAATAAAACACAAACGACCGAGATTATTTCTTACCTACTTTCTGTCTGGTAAGTAAAGAAAGTATGAAAAAATCTTAGTGATTCTTGAAAGAAATATTATCCAATTTCCTTTTAATCATTAACTTTACAAACAGCGGCAATGAGAATTCTACCTGAACCTGTTCTTGCTGATGTATTCATGGCGGATTTATTGGTAAAGTGAATAAAAATAATAGTTAATGACGTTACTTCATACGTGAAACACAATGACGTTAAAAGTTATTACTTTTGATAAGGATTTTTGAAAATCCATCTTGATACAAGTCATGAATTGTTGATTCCTACAAAACTTTGCAAGGAACTAACTGATTTTGAAGTAGATTTTATCACTGACTTACGTCAAGTGATATATGCTGTAAGTTATGAGTCGACAGAAGTCGGAAAATACGTTCATTAAGCCCCATCTCAGTGGGTGAGTGGTTAAGAAGGTTATGGCAGACTTGATGGTTACGAGCTCGAATCAACACAAGATCGTCGGTAAGCGATACGAAGTAGTCTCGTGCTAAAAAGAAACAACTGTCTAGTACATTCGTAACTCTCTAGCTGATACTGGTCTATGATGAAATGTAACTGAAAATCAGTCGACTCCTCCACAAAGTCCTCAAGTGAATAAAGGTCGAATAGCTGTATTTTGTAAACTCAGTCTCGGTTGCCTGTTGCCTCGTCTTTTTATAGGAAATTTTGGGCAACTTTAAAGGCCACCCTAGCAACTGCTGAGATATCCAACTAAGCTTCTACATATTTAATGAAATACCACCTTTCTTGAGGAACTACTGAAACCAGATTGGTGTTATTACAGCAGTTGCCACGGTGTTCTTTAAAGTCACCTTCGCTAGAACCCTATATTTAAGCATAGAAACGTATCTACGCACACACAGCAGGTGGCGACACTTGAATCGAGGCCGTATACAAACACATAGTGTACGCAGTTAAACAAAATCATTTATCGTAAAAGTGCTCGTTTTATAGTCAACATTTTCTGGAATATGATTATTGTCTTTGTGTTTATCTCCTTTGTGTTTCGTTTCTGCTGTTAGTTAGAATAGGTAATTGAAACAAACAGATTTAAGGTGAAAGGTAATATAGCATTGACAGAAAGTGGGATAAGAACTAACTGTATGCTTAAAATAGTAACTTTGATGGCCACCCTAGCCAATTCGACCACTTAATATTTTCTGAAAGTCTACCTTTCTACTCAAAATAAAGAAACCTAATAGGCGAATTTCAGTCGTTGCTATGGTGACTTTGAAAGTCATTCGCTTGACTTTTTATATGACTGTAATTAGCCAGACAACTGACTCATCAACCGACTAACTGGTTGGAACAGCAATCAACTTGGAAAACCAATTGACGCATTAAATCTGACCCGCCTATGAAGAGTTTAGCAGTAGTACTTGGGAACCATTTAAAAAGACGGGAAACAACACTTCATATGGAGGCAAAGTGAAAGGGGATTACTGCAGTAACTTATTTTGTATTAACTTTAGCAAAAAGATGACACACTAAGCTCTAAATAGTTAATGTCTGACTCTTTTAAACTCCCAAGAGAAGATATATTAGAAGCTTTGGTGTACGTTTCACATGTGTACTTTATAAAAAGCTGATCTAGGGCTTATTTGCACAAACACCTTATCTGCGCATATAACGTGAAATGATTTGTAGTGAAAGCCATTTCATCTCTCTGGTAGGTTGCAACATCCCATACCAAATTTTGGTAGGAATGGAGAATGACAGTTTTAGAATTTATCAACTTTCTGCCAGTTAGACACTTAAAATTTCTATTTGTGGGAAAGTCAGTACTAAGAAAAAAGTTGATAATGTCTTATTTTCTGACTATGAAAGGTAAAATTTGATTCGGGACGATGTAATAGCCCTTCACACATGCAATAACAACTATCTTCCCAGCATTGCTAGCTTGTGGTACTAGCAGAAACCAAGGAATTCTTAGGGTAGCCTCAAGGAGGTTGAATGAACCTATAAATTTTTGAACACAGGTCAGTTAAAGAACCTAATATGTTTGCTAGGCGTAGTGAGCTGCATTCTACCTAGACTTACTATTGTTGTATGTCGATCACAAGGTTGATAGAATCTAAGGATCATTAGATAAATACGTGATACTAATTTGTGAAGTCTTTGGTAGTTATTATGAGTTCTAAAGAGAAGTTTGGACTTCCTGGCTCTTTTTAGAAATCAGTGATTGAAAACTTAATATTGTATAGCATCAAATACTCCATAATGACACAAACGTTCAAATTTTCTATCTCGTTCTCAAGCCTAAAAAACCAATCAAGCTTTATCGGCTGTTCCTTTCAACTTTGTTCCTCTATATTTATTCGAACATCTCAGTCTCTAGTATAATTGTTTTTATATGATACCTTCGTTGATTGGACCGAATTGACCGGTCTCTATTAGCATATGGGCTCCTGTGCGCATGCCACGAAATTGCCAGCATTCTAATTATGTTAATGATGGATCGTGGCTAGCAGTGGAATTCAGGATGCACATTCTGTCCTATTTGGGACTTGTCAGCTGGATGTACCTGCTTCCCGAGTCCGAATCCCGGTGAGATCAACATCACTCACTGGGAAGCAGGTACATCCAGCTGACAAGTCCCAAATAGGACAAAATGTGCATCCTGAATTCCACTGCTAGCCACGATCCATCATTAACATAATTAGAATGCTGGCAATATCGTGGCATGCGCACAGGAGCCCATATGCTAATAGAGACCGATCAATCGGGTCTAATCAACGAAGGTATCATATGAAAACAATTACACTAAAAGCTATACCCGTCGCACAAGAAGTGGCTATCGTGGCTGGGTGGTGTAGTGGATAAGTCTGGAGTTTGAAGCAATCGCTTCCGAGTGGGAATCCCGGTGGGAACAACAGCACTCACTGGGAAGCAGGTACATCCAGCCGACGAGTCCCAAATAGGACGAAATGCGCATCCCGTATTATCTCTGTCTGTTTTTTTCCATTATATGTCATATATGTGCATCAGTACTGAAGAATGAACTTGTCTTATGTCTTTATGATCAAAGGAAAAACGCTGCCTAACGGCTGACTTTGCTGCAACAGTAACAAGGTCTACCACCTTAGAGGCAGTGTACATTACGTTTATTTTGTGACTCTTAAAATAATTATAGTCAGTGATCGGAATATGTACAGTTACAAGTAACCACTGCGAAACAATGAGTGGAACAACCTGAACTGACCATGAATAACGACTGCGTTTCCACTACCTAATATTTTACTGACCTAAAGGATTGTTAGAAGGGTGTCAGATATCCGTGACTGAAGAAAAGACATTTAGTTTTCATGCTTTTAAACCACATAATGCAATTGAAAACTGACTCACTAGTTGATTTTGTTTGACCAAGAAAAGGTTTAACTGTTCTGTTAGATTATCTAGATTATTCAATAAGATCTTGAGTGGTATATCTTCTAGGCGTTATTACATTGACTTTAAATTCTTCATAAGTAAGCAGAACTGGTCAAACCAATAGAACTTTGACCATTTTCTTCATTTATGGGCCTTCACTTTTCAAATGGATGAATATGATCCGTAGATTTTAAACGTATCACCAGTTGAATAATAAAAATAACTAAAGGTTGTAAGGATATATATTGAAGGCTCACTTAACTTACTTTCATTTCGACAAAACGATAAGAAGACGTAAATTGTCTGAACCGTGTAACGTATTTGCGCAACACATTTCGAACTATCTGATCACACACGTACTTGTCATAGGTATTTATATATAAACTCATGAACATAAGGAGTGAGGAAATAAAAAGAGGTCAGGTAGGAAGGCTGAATTAACGGCCGAATAACAATGAAAATCAATAGAGTGAAAAATAATAGTACATCGAACTTGGTTTTCAATAGTTGAATTTGCCAAGGAAGGTTTAATGTGACAACAAATTGTTTATGAACACATAAAGGTGGTTTCAGCTTTCTAATAGCTAAGGCTTAAACAAATTTCGGGATCCCTCCCTAACATGTTTTGTAAATAGGTGTAAAAGAAGTAGCCATATCAATCCTGTGGCCTGTCTCAAAGATACGTTTGACGATCGAAGAACTTGGACGTCTGCTACCAACATTTATGGGTTCAGGTGATATAATTTGCTTCTGAAGCCACTTTGGAATATGTTCCAAGGCCCTTACATGCATGGATTTATTAGTCCTCCTTATGTATGTGTCACCACAGTACATTTAAATTGATAGATACAGTGGGATGTGATATTGTTGTTCACATGCTGTGGGGGTTTGGGGGAATATAAGGGCTTCGTGGTTTCGATTACTCGAACCCTGGCTGCATAGTAAGTCTTTCTAACATCAGCGTTAAGTCTCTGTTTAAGGACTGCACTATGAGAGTCACCTTTGTACGGAAGTCTGATGAAGATATCCTTCTTTGGGACAGACTGAAGGTCTAGTTTTAGCGCTCTGATAATTTGTGAGCATCACTCTTCGTAAATAACTGTACTTACACCTCATGTAAGACGTGGAAATGCAACTGATACTTTGCACATGAATAAATGGTATGAAACGCAAGTCAATGACAGGTAGTATTTTAAAAACTGTACATATAGATAAACATGCATACAACATACAAAAAAGACGCACATTTGTGCGCAGAACTTTACAAGCCATAAAAAGCACGATAACACCTGTTAATAACTTTTAACCTCATACTTCACTCTGTAGTTTATGGTGTTTCCATCATGCTTTAAGTGCTAATCCTAATGTATGAGTTTGACAGCGAGGTCAATTATCATTTGGTTACCGATTCGTGAACCTGTTTTCAAAATCGAATAGCAGCATAATTTTACCAGTTCGCTCTAGCCAAACGGCATGTTTAACCTTAATGACCGAAGTCTCTGATTATGACAGATATTAATGTTTGGCTCATTACTTTTTCGGAGATATTTATGGCCTTCAACAAATCTACAATAAGGTCTTCCAAATTATCATCATAGAATTTGAAATCCTTCTACCTGGTCAGGTAAACAGACATAGGAAATGAAACATTCATGGATAAGTTTGTTCTGATTGGTTGCCACCGAACCTTTAGTAATATACTAAATATTAGTCTAATGTAATTCATCTGCGTCCTTGCAGAGTAAGACACAGCTGTCTAATATCACCCATGATCTTCCTGATTGCGGCCGACTGGATCATGCACCAAACCGTGAGAAGCGAGAACAGGGGCATACACCGGACCGATGAAAAGACCCCAAAGGGACATTTGGATTTCGCCGATGATGATTTATGTCTAATGTCGCACAAACTCGAAGATCTACAGGCAAAATCCAACAAGTTGACAGAAGAGGCAGCGAAGACGGGACTTCAAGTGAATGTGGAGAAGACAGAGGTGATGAAGATACCGAAACAACAATAACAGCATCAACAACAAGCACCACTCACTATTAACTGAGGAAGCCTAAAGGAAGTAGTCTCCTTCACCTACCCTCCTAGGCAGCACTGTTTCAACTACGGGAGGTACAGGCACACATGAGGACGTCAAAGTCAGGATCAGAAAAGCAAGATAGGCTTTTATTAATCTGAAGTAATCTGTGTGGAGATCCACTGCACTCAGCACAAAGCATGAACAAAATCCGGATTTTCAACACCAATGTCAGTCAATTCCGTGCTTCTTTATTGTTCAGAGACTTGGAGTGTCACGAAAAGCACTTCCAACAAACTACATATATTCATCAACAGCTGCATACACTGGTTCCATACTGAAGATCAGATGACCAGAATAATAAGAATAAGCAACAAGTAACTCGCTCTGGCAACGAACCGACTAGGAAGCTATCGCTCGACAAATATGCAGAAAGAAGTAGAGATGGATTGAGCATGCACTGAGAAGACCATTTGGGGACACCACGCTCCAAGCACTCGAGTGGAACCCAGATGGGAAACTGCGAGTTGGGCGTCCCAACTGAGAATGACATGGAGGCGATGGTGTGATGGTGTGGGCGGTCATTGAGCTAGGTTCAAAAGACTGCAGAGAACAGAGTGCAATTGAGGCGTGCTACTGAAGCTTTATGTTCCACTAGGAACCCAAATGACAAATAATAATATAATAATACGTCCTTGCAAATTTTGAATATGCAACCAAAGTCAGTTGAACGAAATGGATACAATTTTATACAGGCTTTCAAGACTTACTTGCTCTCTTTGGCAGATTCATTGCAGCACAATTGAAAAGATTGATTATGAGACTTCCATTATCTGGATTATACTGCATTCCAAAAGTAATTTCTCCTCTTGAAACGGCATTCTGAAAATGAAGAAATAATTACTATCATCCATCGGAACATCTATTTCATTAATAAGTTGTAGGGAAGTCTTTTGAGGCTGTCGTGTTCAGCAGTATTCGATATGCCTAGCGTTTCGTTTCAATACAGTCTACAATTGTCACTTATTTGGTTGCAAATACCTGGTCATGGAATCTATGACTTGTGTTTCGTCTTATTCACGACTTTTCAAATGGATGTATATGCATTTCAAAACGATAGCATCTTTACTGGGGCTTGAAGCAAGTATGCCTTACATTACATGGGCTGTTGAGTCATGAGATGAACCTTTGGTGCAACTGGTACAAGTTATTATCGATTTATACTTGTAGTTTTCTACATCACAGTCAAATATAATTCTGTTTGGAAGGAAAAAACTGACAAGATGCCCTAAAAAAGTAACTTAAAGAACACACTCAGCGACTTTTGCATAAGTTATTCAAACTATAAATTTATTCGCCAACTTGTTCATTGTATAAAAGAAAACTTTTTCACAAGATATATCTAATATGAGATTTAATTTCTGACTGCAGTTAAATCGATAGTCCAATAACTTTACTGTAAATTTTCCAGCAATTAAAATTCTGGAACTACCACACTTATCCATGATATGTTGTTCTTCATGATTTGCATAAGTTTGGTCTATCCAACTCATCTTTATTCCTAACGCTTAAAGTATGTTTGTTTTGAACTGCTAGGGTGAAAGTCTTAGAAATCAAGAGATAAGAGTATCTGGATGAGGAATTACGAAGCATCAAAGCAGGTAAAATATTTACTACTTTCAATAACACTAAGCATGATCCAACCATTATCATACCTGTATGTTCCTACTGATAAACGTTTCTCCCATTCCAGCTAAGCGCAGAAAGATTTGGTATTCTGCATTTGTACTTATTATTGTTATCATTATTATTTATTTTCCCTTGGGTTCCTAGTGGAACATAAAGCTTCAGTAGCACGCCTCAATTGCACTCTGTTCTCTGCAGTCTTTTGAACCTAGCTCAATGACCGCCCACACCATCACACCATCGCCTCCATGTCATTCTCAGTTGGGACGCCCAACTCGCAGTTTCCCATCTGGGTTCCACTCGAGTGCTTGGAGCGTGGTGTCCCCAAATGGTCTTCTCAGTGCATGCTCAATCCATCTCTACTTCTTTCTGCATATTTGTCGAGCGATAGCTTCCTAGTCGGTTCGTTGCCAGAGCGAGTTACTTGTTGCTTATTCTTATTATTCTGGTCATCTGATCTTCAGTATGGAACCAGTGTATGCAGCTGTTGATGAATATATGTAGTTTGTTGGAAGTGCTTTTCGTGACACTCCAAGTCTCTGAACAATAAAGAAGCACGGAATTGACTGACATTGGTGTTGAAAATCCGGATGTTGTTCATGCTTTGTGCTGAGTGCAGTGGATCTCCACACAGATTACTTCAGATTAATAAAAGCCTATCTTGCTTTTCTGATCCTGACTTTGACGTCCTCATGTGTGCCTGTACCTCCCGTAGTTGAAACAGTGCTGCCTAGGAGGGTAGGTGAAGGAGACTACTTCCTTTAGGCTTCCTCAGTTAATAGTGAGTGGTGCTTGTTGTTGATGCTGTTATTGTTGTTTCGGTATCTTCATCACCTCTGTCTTCTCCACATTCACTTGAAGTCCCGTCTTCGCTGCCTCTTCTGTCAACTTGTTGGATTTTGCCTGTAGATCTTCGAGTTTGTGCGACATTAGACATAAATCATCATCGGCGAAATCCAAATGTCCCTTTGGGGTCTTTTCATCGGTCCGGTGTATGCCCCTGTTCTCGCTTCTCACGGTTTGGTGCATGATCCAGTCGGCCGCAATCAGGAAGATCATGGGTGATATTAGGCATCCTTGTCTTACTCCTGTCTTCACATCAACGGTATCACTGAGCTTTCCATTTTGTACTTGGTATGAAGATACTAAACAAGAATATTCTTGATTGAACATATATGTGCAAACAGAATCAGGGGTATATCTGAATACTGATTGTTGAAGTAGTACTTATTATTAGAAACAGTTCATATTTGCCAAAATGTCCAACTTGGAAATCATGTTATTTAATCACGATATTGATTACGATAAATACCATGAGGGTACGGCAGCATTTTTCACAGTATAAAAGTGAAAGAACTGGTAGTGATTGGGAATTTGGTAGGAGAGAGCCTATCACTGAGTAATTAAGGCGTTTAACTTTAGGAAACATAAACTCTGACCCTGAGATCATCTGCAGAGAAGGAAAGTAAAAGGTCTTAATTACCGTTAATCATCTAGCCACTGTACCATCATAGGTCATGCTTATTTACTTGAAAAATATCGATTAAAATCCAATTTAGCTAATGAGATGAATCTATTGTCTGAAATTTACCTTCAGAAACACTCGAACTCATATCAAAAATCCTGCTACTTTCTTTTAAAGTCAGTGTTGATAGTATTGATATTAAACAGCATGTGGACATTACGGCCTGAAAAATTTCTGTCAACCTTCAAAATTTATCAGTAATGTTCACTTTCAGCCTCATATGGGATTGAACTCAGGAGCCTAAACATTTATGTCAGACAAGTTAGTTTGCGGCCTCTAGGTCTTGTTCAAGTAGTATTCAATGAACATAAGCCAATAAAATTTATCCAGTGATGCACAACAATTGAGAGTGAATCTGTCACATGAATTTAACTTACCTCATCTGGAACGTGTAAACATCTGATAAACCATAATGTTTTATTTGGTAGTATTTCATACGACTGCCTAATAGCTTCTTTGGCTTGAATGTCTGAAACATTAATAACTGTTGAACGACGTTGATAAGCAGGATCTTCTACAAGATACTGCCATATTCTAGGCGTCAAAGGAATACGAACACTGCCAACTAATTGTGAGGATTTCCAGTGTGGCAAATTCTTGCCAGTACAAGTTCCATGTAAAACATTTGTTTTGTAAGCACTGCGCTCCTTTAAGTCAACTCTTAGCTCATAATTCTGCATACCACAATTGTTTAAGTCTTTTAATGATGTAACTGACTCATCATACTCATCAAATGAAGTTGATAACGTAGTTATACAATCAATTATATCTGATGGTAAATGTAAAAGGATTTTATGCCGGAACACTGGTGAACGAAAAGCGCGTTTGACAGGTGTACGGCCACTTTTCATTGTAGAGTTTCTGTTCACCGCTAGTATATTCATTTTATCAGATAAATTCTTCAATGACTTGACGGATATTTGATCCAAAGATAGCAACGAAACTGAACTGTTAATGCCTGAGAGAAAACGAGTGAATATTATTAGGATTATATGTTATTCACTAATACTCATGTCTATTAGTAACATCACTGATTGGTTTGACATAAAATTAGACAGTTGGCTGGTTAAAAATAATGAATAGTTATCTGAAGAAGGGACTGAAATATGGCGGAGAATAATTTTCTAAAATTTCCACTTAAACATTTAGAGAATGAAAGTTCTTCTCAATTTACTCCTTACTAATCGTTCTACACTCATGCATAGTATTTTAAACCATACAATATACCATGTCAGTCTGTCATTCAAAGGCTATTAATATAGGAGTTGAACTTTGGCACTGCGGTAGATTACAGTTTCATTTTAGTGTGTGTATTTAATTTACCCCACAGTCACATAACTATGGAGAATAAACTATTCGAAACATCAGCCAATCAATAAGCTTTAATTGTGTGACATGTCTTTCAGAAACAGAAATGATGAAAAGTCAGTGAGGAAAGATTATCAGTTGCCAGATTTGAAGGAGGTTTTAATATATCGAGTAAATTAAGACAGGAGTTTCGAAACTGTAAAATTTCAGGGAAATGAATTAAAGGATAACATTAAAAGCTATAACAACAAAACAGAATCTCGTAAAGTTTATAGAATCTCAGTAGTCAAACATTGTGGGTGTTTGAGTGAATTGTGAATGTATATAGGGATAAGAGTGAATTTAAAGGCCACCGTGGTAACTGCTGAAATAACCAATCAAGTTTCGGTATTTCGCCTTTTTCTTTTTCGTGAAATCAAGAAAAGTAATTGGCTGTCTCACCGGTTAAGGTTTAGGGTAGTCTTTAAAGTCCCTTAGCGATAGAGGGGAATAAAATTACTGTCGCATTATTAGACAATAAAATATTTAAGATCTAATTCGATTATGAAACTAAGGACAAGATACAAAAATAAAACTGAGACGAAGTGTAATGAATGAAAAAAGTACTCAGACTTACGAGGGTGACCTGGAAGGGAACTATTATAATTGTATCTGGATCGAAGTCGAAGGTGATCGTAAAGAAAGGGAGAGAACAAATAAATTAGAATAAAAATTTTAAATCGCTTTGGCTTCTGCTAGGCTTAGGGATTGGAGGTGGAAAAACTTAGAGTATCGTGATGGCACTTTATAAAGAATGGTAAATGAAGAAGTTTATCAATCTTGTGCTCAGTATCTACCTCATAGGTGAGTATTGAGCTGTTGATGGATTTCACTATTCCTTTGCCTAACCATATTGGAGAGTGTTCAGTGAAGCGATGATGCCAAAGTATTGGAGGGATAATCTATTGAGTTTGGCCTCATTTATAAACTTTACTGTTCCTGTGGAGATGATTACGTAGGTGGAACGACTCGGCAGATCCATCACTCAGTCGCTGATTGGATAGAACAGATTGGCAAACATTACAATCCATAACATAGAAATTTTACTATGCCTATCGAACTGGGAGTGGTTGTCATGACTTAGTGATCTAATGGATAGCGGTGTAGTGCTTGAAGCGATCGGTCGTAGCAAGAAAACCACTCACTGGAAGGCAGACACATGAGGCTGACGATCCCAAATAGGACGAAACCCACTTTCTGGATTCCACAGATAGTTACTACACATTGATAATAACAGTTTGTTATATAATTTTTAGTTTGTATTAAAGCGGCTAACAGGTGGACAGAAACGATGATTATTTAAAATGACCAGTTGTTGATAGTAATTACCTAAGGATAACCAGAAATGAAGTAGGTCAATTAGAAATAACTAAACTTGCAATAATAATGCAAACATTTTGTATAATGCATTTGAGAAGGGATTTTTTGCATATATAGTTTGTGCAGATGGCCAAGCAAAAGAAAGAAGTTGTACACAACTCCTCTGAACACAGATTGTGTTTGTTCAGGTGAATACTGATGACTCCTGTTGAATATATTCAAAAGAAGTCGTAGAACATAAATGGGATAAGATGAAATTTGGTAAATAACTTTAAGACATGTCTAACACCATCCTGATACTTAGTATCAACACGATATGAGAGTATGGAGTTCGGTATGGATCTCATCTATTCTTGCTAAACCACAACCAATGACATTGGGAAACTCGCTGGTAAGCGTGCTAATTCGTGACCCAAGTGTTACTAGCTTCACAAAAGTAGTTTCTTCGGTGAATAAACATTGAAGAGTGGAAGTCAGACAGTCTGCCTTTGATTTACGAAATCAGCTAACTTTTTCACCTATAGAATAGTATGTTATATTATATTAGAGTGAAGCCTGATAAGATCTAATCGAAAACAATATTGTTCGCTTACATGCCTTGTTATATTATATTGTCTAAGATGCTAAATGCTAGTGTGGAGCAATCGATAAGGAATTAATTCGAGAGAAATACTCTTTCCTTCAGTTAAAATTAAAAATAATTTTACTAAAGTGATCGGTAAGTTATATCAGTACTATATAACCTATTTGGGACATGACTGATCCCCATCAGGAGGGTATTGTCTTCATGAAACAGATGATGGGTAACAATAAATACTCTTTCACATAGTCTGAAATAACGACTGAACGTTGTTGACATAGGAATGTAATGTGGTCAACAGGCTACAAATATGATACTTCGTTGTAATGCACTTGATATCATATTTTAGATATCTGTCTATTCTCTTTGTTTAGCTCTAACAGCGTAACACAAACAGAACTAAGCATTCAACAAAGCTGGTCTGAAGCATTCAATTAAGAGGAAACAACTGATAGTTTAGTACTATGCTGGTAATCATCTTGCTATGTCCCGTAGTACGACTTAACAGTCTACAAGTGAAATGTACCTAAAGCGCAAACTAATCGACTCTAACACAAATCACAACGTCGACCACCACCACAACAACAATACCACTGATACATGAAGACAAGAAGAGAAGACAGACCGTTGACAGAGAGCTTTACACTCTCTCAACAAACAGTCAATTCAGTTGAGAGTGATATACAATAGATACATTTGTAAACGACCTTGACAACACTAAATCCACATGTAGGTTGAAATAGTTTGTAGCCAATGAGGTTTCAGCCTTGAGAGGAGAGGGAAGGAAAACTAGTAAGGTTGTGAAAAATAGCCATGTAGGTTACTTTGAGGTCATAGGTAAACCAGTAGGCGAGAGTTATGCCAAAATTAGGAGTATATAGCACATTGGCTCTTCACTCTTTTATTTATTCCACAATTTTATCACCTTCATTTTACGTTCATTCACACTGACATTCAAATCGTTTCTATTTCATAATCACTACATTTGTTTATATTTTGACAATTTATGTTACACATTCATTATTTCATAAGAAATATTTCCCCACTTCCATTCTTTTAAGAACATTCCACACCTTCGCCTATGTAACGTGTCTCTAGCTTGACTGAAATTCATTATTATAACCGTTTTCCTTGTATTGTATTTTCTTTGATCTTCAAAACATCAATTAACATTTTAAGGTGAGTTAAAATTTGTTTCAGTGATCACTTACTGATTTATTCAAGGTTTTATCCGGCTGAAGAAAATCGTATGCAGTAAAATGATGTTAACTGATTTGATTGTTCATAATATGATATTGTTACTGATCTGTATATATGAACATGGACATATAAATTAAACACAGCCTCCTGTCAACTTCTGTCAGTTAAAAAAAATTCATTATTTCCTTTTGATCTTGAGACAGTCACAAGGTAGCAGAATATACGTCCGTATGTTTATACAGCGTTGAATCACTCTAAATACTCTGTTTACTTTTAGAATAACTAGTAGTAAGACACATTCCATTCACCGTTCTGAGATAGATTAATAGGCAGCACAATTCATTTCCGGTTACACTTAAGGTCACTGTTGGTTGTTCTGAATCCTGTATTCAGTCACACTGTTTAAAAAATTCTTTACATAAGCACGTTGATCAGTCAGTTGGATGCCATCTGATAAGGAGTCAAATAAGGATTAAATAAAGATGATAACATAGAACTTTGATAATTCACCTTTTCGACGATTTGACTTACTGTGATGAATACCACGTGAATGGTCTACATATACTGCATTATCTAACACATAAGTGATTTGTATATCTGTGCCATATCAACTCCTAGGATACGGCACTGTTCACTGAATCAGTAAGTAAGATATCATAAGATATTTATATAATCTTTTCTTCGCTTTCTTCAGTGCTATGAGATAGGTCTACCTATGCCTTCCTCGTGTATTCCAAATAATTAGAACAATAAGTACACATAACAGATGAATACGAAACAACAGAATACTATGAAAAGTTCACTTACCAGCTGGTTGAAGACGAACTTTCACATAGAATTTTCCAGCTTTAGGCTCTACATTTCTACTCAATACACAACGTACATCAAAAATCTGTACAGAGAGTAATGGATGCTGTTTAATATTCCGTAAATCACCTTCCATTTGTACAGTAAATGTAATATAACCTCTTTCTGGTATACCTCTTTCAACTGCCCAGTTTGGGAGGCTAACTGGCATAAATGGTTTATGAACGGTTGGTAATTCAGATGATTCATTATTCTCATCATTAGTTTTAGTGCTATTTAAATCTTCTTTGCTTTCAGTTAATGTTACATCTCCATAACCTTCATCATTTTCATTCATTCGGAAAAATTCATAATCATCCAACCGTGTGTCGTCATCATCGTCCGGAGAAAACTTATGATTCATTTCATCTTTAAAAGTTTTCTGGTGGTCTATAAGATTCTAAAATGAACATAATCAACAGATAAAAGGTAATGCTACTGTTGTTTTTATCATCATTACATGAAATTTATTCATAAAGTATGTGACAATATTTGGCTGCAAAAATAAACCAAAGAAAGTGTCAACTGTCTAGAGTTTCCTGAACCATGATATTTTGTCGTGGACATTTGATCAACAAGCTTTGTGACATACTTAGAACTTCTTCATATTGTTAGTCGTGATGACATTATTAAGTTAAGTAATCAAATGTGTACAACAAAATATCAACAAATGATAGCCAATATGATGCTCCCCCTCTCTAATTAAGTTAGTTGTGAATTGGGATGAGAATTCCTGACTAGGCAGCCAGTGTGAATAAGATCAAGCTGTAGTAATGCGTCACTAATTCACATGCTAGGCGAGCACAACCCTTGATGATCAATGTGAAATAAACATCTGGTCAACAGTCAGATCTTGTAGCCAGCCTAGTTGGTTGAGCATCGGGCAAGAAATCAGATAGTCACTGGTTCGAATCCCTCATTCTTAGCTAGAAATCTTTTTGATCACTTCTAAAAGCATTAGAAAGATGAGTTTAACACATCTAGTTATGATCTAAACATCAGATTCTAAAATATTCATACAGTAGGTTCGTTATCTACTTAGTACTTGTGCGTTTGTAAATATCGGTCGTCAGTCAGTAGTGTTTATCATCAGACTGAGGTGATCAGAGATCAAACAGAAGTTTAGACTTTAGGAATATTCAGATCACTAATACACAAATATTTTTCCCTTCTTGTATGCATAAACATGTATATACGCAATAAAAGCTTATAATTTCAAAACTTGTTTTACTACACCAAATCATGATGCTTAAAATTTCTTTTAATTGTATTGTTCATAGGAAAAAAGATTTTACGTTATTTAGGTGAATATGATGAAGTCGCTAGTATCGAAAAGCAAGTCAACTAACATCTTAGCAACTGGATAAACAGGACCTTGTACGTCCAAAGACTATTAAGTTAAAACAAAACGTCTTTACAATCCTTTGTGATTTTCAACAATTGTTTGACTGATGTCAGTCTATGATTAAAAAAAAACCTTTCAGATAAACCATCAAACTGAATCGAATTCTGAATGTTTCAATAACTTCAAATGATTAGTCAATATTTACCATTCAGTAAAGTCACATTAGTGAAGGGATAACTTCAAATTAACTTCCTTTGACTAACCGTCATATTTGGTGTACTGCTGACACGACGAATGCCTTTTCGACTAACTTCTATGGCCAGTTGAGAATCTGACTTTTCTTGATCACCACTTGATACATTTAGTTTGCGTAGATTTTCATTTTTTCTTTTCATTTCAGCTGACTAAAAGAAAATTCGAAAGAAAATAGTACTGGAAATACGTTTTTGAAATAGTACTGTAAAACTGCGAAAAACTAGAGGAGATGTAGGCTAAATCCCCTAGTTACTTTGTCGTCTCATGACCTAGATCAAAATGCTTTTTTCATACTTATTGCCTTCTTAAACGATTATGATAATTATCAATGATACTGATAATCCGCAGTAAATCTTTACGGAGATACTGGTCTGATAATTCATTAACCAAATGTAATGTTATGATAACAAAGAGGATGTTTTTCATATGTCAGCTATGTCTTTTATAGTGATGCAGTCTGCTGAAAGCTACTGCCTTCGGACTAACCTAAGGAGAAGAGTCTTGATGCCTATTATCTCACATGAAGTTCTACAAAAATATGGAAGGATGATCAGAATGACAATGATAGAAATTCTGAAACCCAATTTAGATATAATTGAATGAATACGTATGTGTGTAGATTAGCATCATTATCGTTTACTAAAATATTTGAATGGAATATAGTTGATTAGAACAAACAAACAATTTTAGCACGGGAATGTCTACCTCATATCTAAAAAAACTGCTGCTTAGATGCACTATAAGTGTTCAATTTTCCTTCAACGACGTCACCTATCGTCAAATAGATAAAATCGCTATGGGCTGTCCTGTTAACCTACTACTGACAGATTGCTCCATGTCCAGTTTAGAGAAAATTAGTCTATAACCAATAATTGAGTTTTTAGTGTACAAAATGTATGTTGATGATATCTTCATAATTCACCGTGCAGACTGTGATTTAAACTATATTTCACAAATAATTTACATTTTCCACCCCTCATTTAAATTCAAACTTGAAATAGAAAGGGAACCAAAGATTCCATTTTTGGAACTCATCAGAAAAAAATGATGCGACACTGACGAGTTCTATCTACAGGAAACGTGTATGGAATAGTCAGGGGATGAATTTCTACAATTAGGTACATATAAGTCGATAACATACTTATTATGTCTGCCGCACTCATAGTCTAGAGGAAGAACTCATGTCTCTCCAAAGGGTTCTGGCCGAAAATGGATATCCAGTACGATTTGTGGACAAAAACATAAAACCCTAACCACAAAGAAGGGTACTTAGTTTAGTTCCAAAGAAGATGACCTGGCTATCGGTAGCTTGAAAAGAAGAATTTCAAACTTACCAACAAAAACTTTCTTCGCGTCAACTTTGAGGATAGTATTCTCCAGTCATGCAATGTCTATTGAAAACCTGAAAGACAAGCTTCCGCATCTAACCACTTCCATCTACGTTAATCAATTTACCTGTTTCTATGGAGCCAGGTATATAGGTGGTTCGATGAGCATTCTTTCCAAATGGATTAGAGTAAAATACCCCATCTGGCCGCAAAGAGGTACGAGTGGACCGATCAGAAGTGCAATAATTGAACACTTTGTTACCAATGATCACAGAATCACAACTGATTCAGCGTTCAAGGTTGTTCACAAGCTGAAAAGGAATCTTGGAAAAACCGTGCGTTTCCATCTTCTCTCTACTACAGAGGCTCTTGCTGTATGCATGTAGAAACCAAAATTATGAGTACACAAGGAACTTGTACAATCTTTGTTACTATGGCGAATAAAATCGCCGAATAAGATCATATTTAATATCCTAATGGTTATTTTTAGTAATTTGATCCTAACATAACCTGAAGAAATTGATTATTTCAACGAGAACCAGACAGAATGTTTTCTTTTGCGTTACTGAATACTAGATATCTAGATCAAAAGTCATGATGGGTAACACAGAAATTGGCTGTTATGAAAAAAACATGTTCGTTTTTGCAAAACCTCAGGAAACTGACTGAAATTCGTATGAGAAGCATTCATACTTGGTTTTAATACAAATAAAGTATAAGTTAAAAGAATACATCAGTCTCTTAATCCATCTGAGTCATCACTATCCAGCCTAATTTACATGTGACATTAACAGTCCTTAAAATCCCATTTTACAACTTGTGGTGGTCTATTCTGAATGTAGATGGCATGAGAAGACCACGTGTATAAATTGTCTCACTGTACAGTGGGACATCAAATTATAAAGGTAGGCTACGGTTGGCAAGAGTGATCCACTTCTTGGTGAATTTATGGATCCATGACGGCTCAAAGACATGATTACAGCTGGAAAAGTGATAGTGTGGAAGAGACCTTGTGACCCACATACTCTCCATTAATTTATCAAAAACTGACGTTAGAAATAAGATCCTTGACTAAAGCCATCAAATATCCAATTATTCATGCTAACCACCTTTCTAATTTTATCGTGTCAATTTCATTTTCCGGTTGTCATTGTTTTTTTTTGTGTGCTATAAACTGCATGTGGATTAGTCATTGTACCACTTTGACCGGTCACTGATGAGCAACCAATCACATCTTGTATAGTCTGAAGAGCTGATTTAATTTCGTCTAACATTTCTCATTGTGGCCACGAAGATAGGAGGCTTATCATCCTGGTGGACTTTGATGGGTGATAATTGGTTGGAAGCAACTGGCAAGAAGCCCTGGTTGACCTAGGTTTTGGGCTCCTTCGCACTTGTCAACAAGGCAACGCTTAGCCTAATATCTCTGTGACCACACTGCAAAGTGATTGATCGAATTTGATGAGCACTCAGGACTAGGAAAAACGAAATTGGTTCCTCTTTAGTGACCGATCAATATAAGTAATGCAGTCCTACAGGATCGAAGTGAAGACAGGAGTAAGACAAGGCTGTCTAATATCACCCATAATCTTCCTGATTGCGGCCGACTGGATCATGCACCAAACCGTGAGAAGCGAGAACAGGGGCATACACCGGACCGATGAAAAGACCCCAAAGGGACATTTGGATTTCGCCGATGATGATTTATGTCTAATGTCGCACAAACTCGAAGATCTACAGGCAAAATCCAACAAGTTGACAGAAGAGGCAGCGAAGACGGGACTTCAAGTGAATGTGGAGAAGACAGAGGTGATGAAGATACCGAAACAACAATAACAGCATCAACAACAAGCACCACTCACTATTAACTGAGGAAGCCTAAAGGAAGTAGTCTCCTTCACCTACCCTCCTAGGCAGCACTGTTTCAACTACGGGAGGTACAGGCACACATGAGGACGTCAAAGTCAGGATCAGAAAAGCAAGATAGGCTTTCATTAATCTGAAGTAATCTGTGTGGAGATCCACTGCACTCAGCACAAATCATGAACAACATCCGGATTTTCAACACCAATGTCAGTCAACTCCGTGCTTCTTTATGGTTCAGAGACTTGGAGTGTCACGAAAAGCACTTCCAACAAACTACATATATTCATCAACAGCTGCATACACTGGTTCCATACTGAAGATCAGATGACCAGAATAATAAGAATAAGCAACAAGGAACTCCGGCTGGCTGGCTGGCAACGAAACAACGGAGAACCTATCGCCCAACAAATATGCACAAGAAAGTGGAGATGGATTGGATTGGACATTCAGTTACAAGACCATTCGGGGACATCACGCGCCAGGCCGGGCCCTCGAGTGAAATCCATGTGGGAAACGACGAGTCGGGTGTGTGAGTGTGGCATGGAGGGGATTGTATGAGGAAGAAATGAAAGCTTGTGGGAAGTGGTGGAAACAAGTTAAAAAAACTGCATAGAAGAGAGTGAAATGTTGAAATGCTACTGAAGCTTTATGTTCCTCTAAGAACCTATGAAGCTAATGATAATGATAACAATAATAATAATATTAATAGTACTGATAGGTTCTACATAAGGTCATTCCCAGCGAGAACAGCTCAAAGTGAATATCACTGACTGAATGTTGTTGGTTCGAATCTATGGGGGTAAATCAGTTTCCTCGAGCTTGGGGATACTCCTTTCTGCCGAGTACCAACATGTACGAAACTTGGGTCAATGAGGAGTTCCTGTCGACTGCCTCCAACCAAATAACAATGTACTATTGTACCTTTCAAAATCAGTCAATTAGTGGCTCAATAATTTACTCAAATACTCATAATCTTAATAATCTTCTAGGTTAACAATGCAAAGTAATAAGGAATATCTAATTTGATACCATTTACATGTGTGTCTGTGTGCATGTTGCTTTTCACTGAGCCTAGATCAACTAAACGTGAAAAAACAGCCCATAAGTATCCTTCTTTGGGGTTTGAAAAGTATACTGTTCCATTTCTATTTTATTAGTGCTCCCTCATACTTCCAACCGAATAAGAATTATTAAGGGATCATAAAATGTTTAACATGAATAACCACTTGAGACAACTAAGAATGCGCGGTAGAGTGATGATTAAAACTGAGGTGAAAACATATACAACCATAACCTTTTATTACAACTGCAAACGATACAGTCAGAGGTCACTGGTTTGCCTCTTACTGCAATAAACACTATCAAAAAAATCAAGTCCGGAAACCATGCAGGAAATTCGGAGCTAAGAATGTGGATGATTAAACTAGGTTTCCTCAAGAATAGCGGTTTTGTTTGGCAAACAATCTTTTGTCAAGCGACGTATCATTATCAATCAGTGCATAAGTGCTTCGCAAGGAAGTGAAGTACATATGACACGCCGTCTTGCCTAACTTTGGGCTGACTGATCGTTCTATGAGTATGCAGGGCATATTTTAAACCTGATTAATCAACAGTTAGCCTTTAACCTTCTCAGACAGCTACCCAACTGTGGCGTCAGGAATCATTGCAGAAGTATTGATGTAAGAATTGGAGTTGATAATCTTAACAATCACTAAGCCAAAATTGTGGTTGTGATACGTGAATGACACATTTACCATACTTAGTAAAATGACAATAAGTTCACTGAATATGTAGTGAACAATGTTTTCAAAGGAATTTAATTCACAAAATAAGATAACGGACAACTAGCATTTGTAGGTATCATGGAAGCAAACAGTAAAGTTGGATATTTCGAAACTCCCGTGTGCAAGAAAAGAAGTTAATGGCTATCAAGATAATCTTATCAGAAGATGGCT